ATTTGGAAACTTATAAGAGAAATTATCTTTTCTCTTTAAGCAATTGAGCAAGCAGAGCTTATTAAACTGTCAAATTTTACAGAACTTTTCCCTTCGGTAAAAGTCTCTCCGTTGGGGGAGAGGTTGTAACAGCTTTAAATAATATTAAAATCTTGTAGTTTAAATAATTTAAATAGATGAACATTAAGGTATTTGTGAATGGCAATATTTGAAACCAGACTCGAGTGCCTCGTGCGACTCTCGCACGAAGAATGTAATTTATTTTTAAATGATAGAATATGTTTTCTTTTTTTGTTTGTATGTCGCCATTTTGAGTGCTAAATAAAGTTTTTTTATGTGTTCCATCATTGGAGTTGCTTCATATTGCCAAAGAAGTATCACAAGGGGCAAGTCTATTTAACATTGAGTAAATGGGTATCTCGGTAATTTGGCTAGAAATCGCCAAAATTCGCCAAACTGGAAAACATTTGGCGACATTTTGGTCTGGTGTCTGTATCACCGTAATAGGTATTGTAATTCATCACTATATTAGCTGTATCCGTAATTCGACCCTCATATTGCATTCCAGTAGCTTCGAAAAGCAGAAAGTACTAGAAATATCTCGGCGGTCGGTTAAAAACTATGTAAGGCGTGAGAGAGCATGTGCTCTGAGTTGTTTTTGTTAGCTGTTAGCTCAGCGTGAGTTCCAATTATAGCTTCTCTCTTTAGCTGCGCTTTGCATTCTGTTCATAGAAGTTTGAAGTGATTGTACGCTTTGATATTGTGAAGAGTTGTACAAAAATTTTGTAGAAAGTTGCAGACCTCTGAAGTTTTTTTTTTTTTTTTTTTTTTTTTTTTTTTTTTTTTTTTTTTTGTTAAAATAAATTTTATCAACCTATCATCGGAGCTGTGCGCATTCAATCTGTTGCGAACCAATATGCTCGCAACATTTTTTGGTGTCAGGAGTGGATTTGAATGCCGACGACAAGAGCGATGAACGAGCAACTAAAACATCTGGTGAGTGCCTATGTTGAATTCCAAGAAAAGATGAAAAGGGCTGTCAAGTATGTCAAAGAAAACATGAAAGCAAGATAAGAATCCGTTAGAGAAGAGATGGAAGCTGTTCACGTAAAGATTGAAGCAGGCCAAGAAGATATGAAAAGAAAAATTAGTGTCTTAATAGAAAACAAATTTGAGGCTATGGAAGGTAGAATAAACACGGTTGAAAATAAGGTTCGAGAAACTGAAGAAAGAGTTTCCTCCACTAAAGAACAAATCGAAGAGAGAGTTTCTGCCGTCGCCAAAGAAGTTGACACCTTCATGCATAGCGACAGCAGAAAGCAATTCTGAGGGTTTTAAACTTTTACCCATGCCTTTTCGGCCCTCTCTGAAGTTATCCAAATATGATGATAAGACTGCTTGGCAAAGTGTTAAAGAAAATAATTTAATAAGGCCTAATTTAATTCTTTAATTATAAGAAATAATTTTCTAAACCGGCGGACGCAAATGGATGGGATTCTAGGCTAAGGCCTGTTATCTCACCCCTTCTTTGAGAGCAGACGCAGAGGATATCCTTCAAACTCTTCCTGAAAACCAGATGCTATACTTCGAAGTTCTATCCGGGGCGTCGGAGTTGCGCTTTGGGCAGATGTGTTTAATAGATTATAGCATGTTTCATTTAAAATCCCGCAAATGAAGCCCACGGGAACACTCCAGAAACTTGCTACAAATGTGATAGGCTGTAGCATCTCGCGTTTTCGGAATGCCCGATAGAAACAAAGGAAATTACTTCTTCCTGCATTACTTCTTCGATGGCATCCAGGATCATGAAATACAGAAAGTTCTGCGAATAGCGGATGTCAAGGGTTTAAAAAAGCGTTTTGGTGTACTTCATAAAATTCGAGGCAGCCTAGCAAGCAACTCGTGGAGACTGCCAACCAACCAGAGCTGCTCAAGTCCAGTAGCCAGTGGATCAAGTGACTGCTTGTCTGGACGATTTAACTAGACAAGTCAATGCCTTGAGGCAGAATAAGAGTGACAAGAAACAAACACTAAAGTACAGGATCTGCGGTGCTGAAGGCCACATGCGAAGAAACTGCAGGACACCCCAGAAGCACGGATGTTAAAACCGTTCCTAGCAAGAAGGAGAGAGGCTAATTAGTTGCCATCTCGCGGGACGGAGGTTGCCAGATAATGAGAAGCCCAATTTTAAATCACTTCATATTTCTGTAATGAGTGGCGGCAGTGATGGACTCTTCATAATGGAACATATCAATTGAGTTCCTGCAAATATGAGCATCGATACAGGCGCCAACATTACCATAATTCGAAAAGATCTAGCTCAACAAATGCAAGGTAAACTCATCTGGACGTCGTCCTGCATCAGCCTCCAGATTGTGTCCGGGAGGAGATCGACATAGACAGAAAATTAAACGTTAACATCACGTTTGGAAGTGCCGCCTACCATCACACGGCATATGTGGAAAATATTACAGATCCCTGGATACTTGGATTGGACTTTCTAAGGAAATACAAATTCCCTTGGACTTTAAAAATAACGAACTGCTTCCTGATCCTGAGGAAATAACCATATTCGGAATTAATGACAAAAAAGTTAAATCTGTCCAATCAAATCACAGCTCAAGACGTGATCACAGTACCAGCAAGAACAGAATTTTTACTTCCTGGATCCATAGCCAAAAACATAAATTTTCATCATGGAATATCCCTAGAATTGTAACATCGTGAGGGGTACTACACTGACTACCAATACGTATTTGGACACCTGGTGATAGAAAAGAAAAACTAACTTTATTCAAAATCAATAGTTGGTAGAACTCCACGAGAGGTAATTACAGCGTGGACCCTCCGGGGTATACTTTCCCCAAGTCTTTGCATGACAGCTAGTGGTATTTTCTTCCACTCGGCTTGGAGAAGACATAGAAGTTCCTTCACCGATTTTGCACGGGTAGTGCACCCCTGAATTCGTCGATGCAACTCGTCCCAGAGGTTCTCGACAGGGTTCAGGTCTGGACTCTGGGCAAGCCAGTCCATTCGATGAACTCCATTGGCACCACACCAAGCCTTGGTTAACGTCAAAACATGACAACTGGCATTGTCGTCCTGAAAGTAATAGGGGTCCAACCCGTAAAACTGCCACAACGTAGGAAGCACATTGTCATCCAAAATAGTTCAGTAGGCATCGGAGTTGAGCTTACCATGAATGGGGACCAAGGATCCCAGCTCATACCAGGAGAAACGCCCCCAGACCATAATTCCACCTCCGCCGAACTTGACTGTTGGCACAATGCATTCAGGCAGGAGACGTTCTCCAGGTAGACGCCAGACCCAGACCCTGCCATCCGAACGGTAAAGGGTGAACCTTGATTCGTCACTCCAAAGAACCCGTTTCCACTGATCTACGGTCCAATTTTGATGTGCTTTGCACCACATTAACCGAGCAGCGCGGTTGGACTTTGTGATCAAAGGCTTATGGGCAGCAGCACGACCATGAAAACCAAGCAGATGTGCTTCCTTACAGATGGTATTCATTGAAACAATACTCCTGGATGCCTGTTGAAACTCCTCGCGGATGTGGGCCATCGGTTGGGTGCGGTTCTTCCGAATTTCTCTGGACAGCACTCGTTGGTCTCTATCTCCCAGTTTCGTTGGTCTGCCGACATGGGGCACATTCCGATAATCACCGCTCATCTTCCACTTCTTAATCAGCGCTCACCTTCCACTTCTTAATCACATAGGCCACTGTCGATTTTGGGTATTTCAGATCACTAGATATGTCCCGTAAGGATCGGCCACATTTGTGATACCCGATAATTATACCTTTCCCGAAATCAGAGAGGTCCGAACTGCGAGGCACCTTGCATGCGACTAAAGCCGATGCTGTTTCCTACACGATATATACCGGCGGAGTCCGTGACGTACCTTAGGATCGCCGATGTTGTCATTTGCATTAGGTGTCCAAATACTTATTGGTAGTCAGTGTAGTAGCCTTGGCAGTCGTCGACTTATCGAGGACGTCTTTCCGGTGAGACTTGGTATGTTTAATAAACATGTTTTAAGTCAGCATTCGTTTGATTTTGGAAAAAAAACTGAGTTATTATTTAAAATATTTTTCGTTGTCTCTCATAGATTTAAATTTAAAGATAATATTCAGTTTTATGGGCATGTTTTAATATTTACCTTGCTTTCTTCACAGCAAAGCTTATCGTAGCCGAACCCCTAATCGGGAATAGACAGCACTGTTATTTTTGTATGTTTATTACGATTCGAGTTAGTCATTCTTAATATTCACGAATTTTCTTTTCATGTTCAAGTTGAGTACTTACAATTCTTAAGTTAGATTAAGATTTATTGTTTTGTAACTTATGATATATTGTTAAACGATACAGAACCGCTTACATATAGTCATATACATTTATTTATTGCTTATATTGGAGGATTCGGACTTGATCTTTCTAAGCAACAAGCGCTTAATCGCCCTTATTAGCTCCACCAGTGGCCAAGTGGTCAAGACCGTTAAGTACTCAAATTTCGGCTCGGGTTCGATCCCAGAAGAAAGAGGTTGGCTTAATAGTTGCGTTTCGTGGTTTTTCCTCATGAGTAATGCAAATAGCAATCAGTTTTCTTTAGAAAGTCTTCCATGACGGTATCCTTTCCTCAGGCAGATAGACCTTGTGTGCGTTGCCATATTTCAGTAACCAACTATCTGCAGATATATCAGTTACAACCTATATACAACGCTTTTCATACATTCATTTCATACAGTATGCATCTATTTCCTTAAACAAGGTGGGAAAAATGAAAACCAACATAGAAACTTTAAATGAAACCAGCAAAAAATTCAGATTCTTTTATTTAGCGTGGTGTTGACAAAATAGCATATTATAAACTCTTTATGCTTTTTTTTTTAGCCTCGAGGGAAAAAGAACTATATGCTTTTGTTTATTAGATGCCAGTAAACTTAAATTCGGTTTTTGATGCTTCATTTGCTTTAATTTTAGGATTTTGTGAGGACCCAGAATATGGTCGCATTCCCATCGGAGGTACTGGTTACAACGACGAAAAATGTCGACGATATTCATGTTCAGAGGGAGCTATTTCTGGGGCTAGGTAAGTCAACAAATTGCTTTTCTTTTCTTGAGAAATTTAAGAACGGTTAATAATAATGATAATTTATCATAATAATTATGATAATAATGATAATTATGGGCCATTGTGCTAAATTTTAAATCCCTTTTCAATAAGCCTTAAGGTTTCAAAACTTGCTTTGATACTAGCAAGTAGCAAAATTTACCTTTAATTAAAAAATTTATCACTTTTATTCTGAAAATTTACCGTTTTTATTTTGCTTCTACACTGATTTTCATAAGTTAAACAAAAAATTAATGTATCGTTTGACATTGCATCATCAGTTGCAAATAAATTTCAGTTTAAAAACTGCCATCTCAGAATTATTTGTTGGCTGATTTTTAAAATGTGAGAAATTTATCCCTATGTAACATATTTTTGCTGAAAGGCATTAGTTAACAGTTGAATACATGTGAATAAGTCATAACACACATTATAAGCCAAGCAAAAATCAGATAAATCCAAGAAATATAGTAGTACCTCTTGTAAGTGACACATCCGAAAAAGGGACACTTCTATTTAAGCCATAATTTTGTTGGTCCCAGTCTCTTTCAATAGGGAGCTTAATGTATTTACCTCTTGTTAGGGAACACTGAAAAGCAGTTTCAAAAATACGATAAAAGTAGAGAAATAAATAAAAACAGAAATACAGTAGCATTTCTCAATAAAGGACACCCACCGGTCCAGTACTTTTGTTCCTTCTTCAGAAGGTACATACTAAAAATGTGTAATTTAATAAGAAATTCTGGTTGTATAAAGTTTTAAATAAATTACATGTAAATAAGCAACATAGTCACAGGTATTTACTTGAATTTGAAGTTAATGAAAAAGGGAAGTTCTTAATTAAAACAATTTAATTATTACAAAAATGCATGAAATGAACAATAGAATTTCGTAATTACATAAATGTATTGAAAGTAACCCATTACATGTGTTTGCTTGAAAGTCTGTGAATTGGAAGAACTTTTTTCCATGATGATACTGATGATCTTAAGTCCTTCACTGTCACCAGTAGTTGTCAAGAATTTGCTTTTGGGAGTTTGTATGCTTTAAGGCACCTGTGTAATTTTTTATGTCATACTTTTCGTCTGGTTCTTCTTCGCCTCTCACTGCTTTCAAGCTATTTTTGTTAATGCTCATATCCTCAACTACAGCTGAAATAAAAGATTTTATGTCGTTATTAGAGTCTTTCAGTCGTTATTAGAGTCAAGAATTTATAATATGCACAAGTTTTCACAGATTTCTAAATATTTTTGCAGTTGAGCACTGCCACTGATTTTGACAAGTTCAAACAATTCATTTTCATCAGTAGTATTTTCATTCAGGGTACGAAACTGGAATTTCAAAGCTTGATTTCTTAAGATAGTGCTAAACACGACTTTGTGATACGGATTTAACAGCTTTTGTTATCCATTGAATGGCATTCAATACACTGACACGTTTTACAGGCTGATCGCTGTTTCCGCATTACAGTTTTCTGTAATGAATCGAAGCTTCTAATTATACCTTGGTCCAAAGGCTGTAATACTGTTGTTGTATTAGGTGGGAAAACACTAATTTCACTGATTTAAGTTTTTACATTTTTTGGTGGGCAGGCGAATTGTCAAGAAATAGCAGAATCTTCCTATTTTTTTAGATATTGTTTTATCAAGAGCAATCAGCCATTCCAACATTATGCTTTGCGTCATCCATGATTTTTTTATTATGATGCCAATGAACAAATAAAGATTTTGGATTGATGTGTGTGAAGCATCTTAGTTGTTTCGCTTTTCCATTTACAAGTGGTTGCTGAAACTCTCCTTCCATGTTACAACAAAGTAACACAGTGAGACGTTCCTTCCAACTTTCGCCACAAGAGCACTTTTCTCCTTTGAAGCATAGAGTTTTATTCGACAAAATTCGATAAACTACTTCATTTTCATTTATATTATTGATATTTTTAGCCTCATAACCTTCATGCGCAAAGACCATTTCTTCTGGGCATCTGCAGAGGATTCCGTACCTCTTCAATAACTGTATTAAATGTACTGGGCGGACTCACGCCCCTACACTTGTTAGTACAGAGAGAAAATTCAAGAATTTGGAATAAGACATATATATATCCTTGGACTATAAGAATCACATTGCGCACTCTCCTTGTCACCCTACTGACTTCGATACAGAAGCAAGCTGTAAACTTCCACTTGCATTACAATCGACAGCCGTCTATACTGATGGCTCCGTAGGAAACCTCGGGACCGGCAGTGCCAGGGTGCAATGGATGGTGACCTTATAATCCATTCCTGGGATAAGAAACTTCATCCTAATAACTCAGTGTTTCAGGCAGAACTTACAGCCTTAAAAGCGGCTCTTGACTTAACCCTTAGAAATGGAAAGTATAAAGTAATATATATTGATTCAGTAGCAAGATTGCAAGCCATCCAGGGCGGCCACAGCAGTCAAAGTCATAAGAAAACTATTAATTTCGATTCCTGCAAGCCTGAAGCCCTAGCTTCACTAGGTTCCAGCCCATACGAGGATTTAAAAAAAAGAAGCAGCAGACGTTATTGAAAGAAGCGCAGCTAATGAGCCCCACGTGACTACCATTAAAGTGCCCCTTCGGAATTCATACCTGAAGACCACTCTCAAATGTGAATTAATTAAACAATGGCAAAACTACTTAGAGTCGAGCACCTCAGGCAGAAGATTGTATAATTTTTATTCAAAAGTAAACAGGAATTTAAATAGCAGCTTTATGCAACTCGCAAAGTATCTAACAGGATGCGGCCGATATAATTATGTTTTGTCAGATTTGGCCTAAGAGACAGTAACTATTGTATTCGTGGCGGTACTAGTGACCCAAACCACTGTATGTATGATTGCGCGCAAACTGAAAATTCGCATTTCAAAAGACCTGCTGTAATCAAAATGCCGGCATGCATCAGGAATACAAATAAAAATAAATATACGCTCATCCGCATTAGAGAATGTAATAACATTGCTAAGCGTACTGATGAAAGCTTGGCGCAGCTTCTCTATGCTCCGACATCGTGCCGTCAGCAGTTCGCTCTGTACATATATTAATTTAATATCTTTTTTAATGTATAATAATTATCTGCTGTAATAATGTTTACTATTATGATTAATATAGCTTGTATTGTTCTTAATATTTACTCACACTTAAATTTTATTATCTATGTTTAATTATTCAATTTTGTACTAAGGATGTGCCTTACTTGGTTTTATTTGTACTAAAATGTTGCACTGAGCAAAATATGTACATAATTTCTTATTATTTTTTCCTTACCAAGGAGCACTGTACTTTAAATATATACAAACAGGTATTATTTGTAATAGTGTATTTTCCGTAGATTAGTATGCACACATATTTATCGTATTTTGTAATTCATTTAGTACCTTAACATGACATTATCTGTGTTAATGCAATTCTCTGAGTTCAGCACTGACTTAATGTATTTTATCTATTAGGGCATAATATGGATATATGAGTCTACAATAATGCCAGTGTAACTTGTCATTAGTGTTTGTAAAAGCAATATGTAGACATGCACAGTTTCATTAACCTAATTTGTAATTTGTTTTGTTTCATGATTTGCAATGTATTTGTTCAGATTTCATCTGTAGATTATATCTGCACCTGTATTTATAGCCCGTCTTTATTATATTTGTATACCTGACATATACCGTACTAGTGAAAAGTAACTAAAATATGTATTGAATTAGCAGAAGTACGTAACATATTATCAATTTGCAAAGCTCTTGGTAATGTAGAATCTACAGCATCAGTTCTTTCTAAATTTAATTGTATAACTATCAGTATGCATTACAATTGTGAACACATTGTACCCGACAGTAACAGTATCTCCTTGCAAGCAACTTTGCAGTGTTCAAGATAAGTGGTCCTCAGCATTTCTTCCTTAGTTTCAGCAGTCCTCACCATACACTTTCTTTCTATGTTCTGATCTTTCTTTCAGTGTTCCTCGTGTTAAGTAACACGAGGAACACTGAAAGCTTTAGTCAATTACCGGAGGATACAGTACTAAGCTCTAGACTTTTTTTTGATTCCATCAACGGGATCCAACAGCCTAAAAGGTACCTAACCCAGTGGGGCAGCTGTTCTGTCGATGACGAAAAGAAAGTGCTCAAATGCAAAAGTATTTAAAAATCGATGAACACTTGTATACCGAAGACACCATGGCGACATAAAATCTTTTACTTCATATTCAGTTAATAATGTGAGTTTTAATAAAAATAACTTGAAAATCAGTGAAGAAAATGAAGAAAAGCCATACGAAAAGTGTGAGATAAAGAACTATACATATGCCTTAAAATACACCTCCCAATTGAAGAAGTCATGATTACTATTGGTGACAGTAAAGGACTTAAGATCATCAGTGACTTTAATATCTACATGGAAAAATGTGCTTGCAAGTCACAGACTTTCAAACAAACTCGTGTAACGGATTATTTCCAATAAATTTATGCAAGTACAAAACTCTATGTTCATTTCATGCATTTTTGCAATAATTAAACATTTTTAATTAAGAATTTTTATTTGTCATTAATTTCAAATTCAAATAAATTCCTGTAACTATGTTACTTATTTATATAACATTTATTTAAAGCTTGACACAAAATATCTCGTCTGGGGTGTCCCGTATTGGGAGGAACCACTGTATATTGAATTAGTTCGAATATATTCTTTTACTCCCTCTGTTCTTTATATTTAATTATGAACAATCTAAAGAGAATTCAGAGTAACAAAGTATTCAGAATACTTGGTTACTTATCTTAATAATACTTATCTGAATTTAAATCTGAATGCTATTTAAAAAGGTTGTCTTACCAATTTGAACCATAATTCAGTCCTTCTAAAATAACAAAAATATGGTAATTTTTAGAAGAAAATGATAAAAATATCAAAGTTAAAATTTTCATTTGATTCATAGATAATAATAACTCATTATAACAGAAAAGAAAAT